CTGAGGGACGGGCGGGTCCCTCACGGAGGCGGTGTTGGCTTCAAAGCCTCGGTGAGGGGAGAGCGGGGTGGTGCCGCCTCCTGAGGTTTTAATCTGCACAGGGAAAGGCTCCAGGGTGAGCCGAGTGAGGGTTTTGGTGTTTAAAGGGGCTCCAAGGTGGATGTGGGACAAGGGCCTGAGGGACAAGACACAGGAATGGTTCCCACTGCCAGGGGATATTGGGGAAAATTCCTCTCTGTGAGGGCAGTGAGGTCCTGGCACAGATGATGCCTTGTAAAGGCCTAAAACAGAGGCTAGACAAAATTAAAGAATAAAACAAGGATTTATTAAAAGGCCTCAATGAATCCACCTTGGGCAGCACAAGAGCCCAGCCAGGGCTCCACCCAAATGAAGGATTTTGTGTGTCTCAATGACTAATCCCCTGACAGGCTTCCTCTTCCTTTGCTCAGTTTTTCCCAAGCCAAAAAAAGATATTTTTTAAAATAATGGGTTTATTTGTATCTCTGAAGGGCGGAGGTGGGGGTTGAGACACTTGGAGGTTTTATTTCATGCCTCAGGCGTGTTCTGCAGTTTAAAGCTGTGATTTGGGATTCCTGGGGTCTGCTGTGAGGGACTGGCAGCACTTTGGGAGGAGAGGGGGTTTCCAATCATTGGGGTTTCCTGCTTGAGGGAACACTCAGGATGAAGGATTGGTTGGGACCTAAAACAGTCCAGAACAGAGATCAAATTGTGGTGGTTTTGCTAAATTCCAGCTGAGCTCCTTTCACTGAGGCCACTGCTTTTGCTGGCAGGTTGGAGCTGACTCCTGCTGATCCCTCCTGTGGAAGGGCTGATCAAAGGCCAGCAGCAGCAGCAGATGAGCCTGTAGAGCTGGAAGCAGAGCTGCAGGAAGGCACAGAGCCATGGCAGAGAGCTGCCCTCCCTCCCCTGGGCTCCACCAGGGCCTCAGGCAGGATCCAGCCCCCAGGGCCAAGCGGCTCTCGGATTCCACGGTGCAGGTGCAGGCCCTGCAGTCAGCCAAGAAAGCCTGCGTGCTGAGCCGCGACTGCAGCACCCCAAACCCTGCAGGGAGCGCTCTGCTCCCTTCCCCAGGCTCTGGCTGCTCCCTGTTCCTGGATGAGAGCGGGCAGGACGAGCTCGGGGCCGCTTTTGCCGTGGCCAAGTACGATGATGTGGCCATTTCCCTGGACATCAGCAGGTGCTTCGACGACAGCGAGCTGGATGATTCCCTGCTGGAGCTGTCAGGCAGTGAGAAAGGCAATTCTCCCTTTGATTACACCGAGGAGGAGATCCAGGAAATCTTGGCTGATGATTCCATGGAGGCTGAGCAGCAGCAGAACCTCCCTGGTGAGAGCCACGTGAGCCAAAGTGAGAGCGGGAAGAGCGACCAGGGGATGTCACTCAGTGAGGCCACCCAGGAGCCTCAGGAGCATCCCTCAGGCAGCTCTGGGTGTGATCCTGGAGTTTTGAGTGGCTCTGCTGCTCTGGATGGGGCTCAGAGGCTGCAGCAGGAGCTGGACCTTGACCTGCAGGAGCTGCTGAGCCTGAGCCCCTTTGCTGCTGCCTGTGCTGAGGAGGCTCTGGAGGAAAACAACCTGGAAAGAGAAACTTTGGATGCCATGATAGATGATTGCTTGGGATATTCCACAGCTGCTGGGAGCTGCATTGCTGAGAAATCCTCAGAAAGGGCGATGCCTAAAAGCCAGGAAAGCCTGGGGAAATCCCTGCCCTCATCCAGCCCTCCCTGTGGCCAGGGCACAGGGGATCAGAGTCCAGCATCTGGACTTCCACCCAAAAAAGAACTTCCCAAAGCAACACTGAGCTGTTTGTCAAGGAAATCGGGCTCTCCAGAGGATGCTGAAGGGGAATCCAGAGGAGCTGAGCAGCCACCAGGCAGCACTAAAGTAAACTCCCATCTTCATTCTTGGAACTTGAATGGTTTTCATCCCATCCCTTTGGATCTGTCCATGTGCACACAAGTGCTGTGTTGATACAGGGGAGGTTTTTCCAAGTGGATTTTGATATAACTATAAAAGCAAAATGTACATGGAAAAGTTTTATTAGATGTTAATCCCCTTTTTTCCTTCCCTTTCCAGTTAAGGGACACAGCTGTAGGCCAGAGTGGGCAGGAAGAGCCACCCAGTGGCAAGAAAAGTGGCAAAGTAATTCCTGTCCCACAGGAGGAGGAGGAAGAAAGGTAATTTCTTAGGAAATCTGCACTTTAAAAAACCATCCCAGCTCTTTCCTCCACCACTGGGTTTATTTCTAAATTAAGTCGCATTGAAATAGTGGGGAAATAATAAATATTTCACCCTGGAAGAGGGGAAAGAACATGGGGAAGTGGGAAAGGAGGTGGGTGAGGCAGTTTGGGTTTGCAGAGGGGGTGTTTGTGCCTCCCTGGCTGCTCCTCCCGCAGCCGTTCCCTGCAGGTGGCAGCAGCAGAGCGGCCGGGATGCAGCTCCTGCCTTTCCCCGCTCCTGGAGGCGCCACATCGGGGCTTTTCCCCCTCATTCTGGGCAGGAATTGTGTTGCTGTTGTGTGAAAAAAAAAAGAGATTTTTGTGCTTTTGAGAGCTCCCCGTTGTGGTCAGCAGGGCAGTGACCGCCTGGGTTGGCTCAGCTACTTTGCTCTCGGCGTGGTTGATCTTTGGCAGCTTTACTCAAATAAATTCTTTCATTTTTTTTTTTTTCCATCCCCAAAAACAGTGCTACAAGAATGTCACATCTGCCATAGTTCTGCAGGGCTCTTTGCCCTCTCTGTGAACTGTAACCTAATTTAACAAATAACCTAAAATAAAATTAACACCATTTATTATTTTCAAGGCCAAAACAACGGAGCTGCATTTCAGAAGCACAGCCTGAGCAAAGGAGACGTTTCTCTCCAGGCTGTGCCAATCCAAGTGAGGAAAAGTGTGGCTATTACCTCAGGTAACCCCCAGGTGGGAGGGGATGAGGCTGCTGGGGAGGGAAAATTCAGCTCCTGGCTGGACTTGAATTCTTTATTTGGAGTGTGTTTGTTTTCAGAGGGGAATAAAAAATGTCTGTGATAATTTGTGCACTGCCATGCACAAAATTCCTGCACAGGAATCAACCTGGCTCCAGGCCTGGCTCTGAGGAGTTTTACAGATAGCTGGGAAATGTTGTGAAAGGGTTTGATGTGGAAAATCAGGAAATCAGGAAAATACCAAAGCAGGTTTGTATTCCTTGGGAAAAGCAGAGCTGAGCTCTTGTTCTGTTGGGGATTAATTTGGGTTTGTCAGTTCACAACTATCCCAGAATCAACATTGGAAACACCTCCAGAACTTGGAGTTCCCACCTTGNTTCCACCGAGGAATTTCATTCCTCTCTGATCTACCAATGGAGTCGGAGTTGACCCACGGCATTTTCATCTCTGCCCTCGTGGAATGAAGCAGAATTCCCCATCCATCCTCTTGGGGATGGCATCCCTCACCATCCTCATCCTCCCTGCAGCAGCAGTGCCAGTGACAAGATGAGGAAGGCGACAAATCTTCCTCCCCGTGCTGGAATCAAAGTCCCTGTGACACCAGGAAGGGACGTGGGTCTGCAGCTCTTCACCTTCCCCCGTGACTGAAGCAACAAAAGTCGAGTCTAAATTTAGGCAGGGGCGGTCAGCAGACAGGAATGTGCACGGGGAAGGTCTGTGAGTCATGCCCGATGGATTTGCTGGAACATACGGAGGACATGACGGAGTTTTGAGGGACGGGAGACAAAACATTCTCCAGCTGCAGCCAAGCACTCGGCCCTTCCCGGCTTGCAGAGCTCAATCCCTCCCTGCTTGTCTTCCCTGAGTATTTTTAGGAGCTAAATTTTAATATTTTTTTAAGGATTTAGCCAGCTTCAGTTGGAGGAGGGCTTTGAAAAGAGATGAATTAACCCCACAGGAACAGAGAGCAGAGATCACGGAAAAAAAAGCCATGAAAAGGGAACAGAACTCAGAGTGTTCAGGTCCCCTTTGAAATTTGTGACCTTGAGGGAGGCACAGCATAAAAAGTGTCCGAGTTTCCTGATGACACAAGATGTGGGGGAGTTGGGAGGACCTTGAAGAGCTGGAGGAGAGCAAAAAGCTCTGCTGGGGAGTGGTGGGAGAGGGTGCAGAGCTGTGAGGCAGGAGGGAAGCACTCAGCAAAGCCTGAAGCCTCCAAAAATGGAATCTGCATGGAGGTGAGGGAGAAATCCCCTGGAGTGGGTGGTCAGGAACATTCCAGAACCTTTCTTTGTAGGAATACCTGAGGGAGGAATGGGGTAGTGAAGTCAGCATCTCTAAAATTCAGCAGATCCCAATGTGCCTTCCCTTGCTCTGCTACACCCGAATCAGTGGTGTCAAAGCAGCATAAAAACACTAAAAAGAGAATTAAACCGTGATTGACAGAAATATAAACCCAGGAAAATTATTTTCCTGCTCCCAGAGCTGCGGGGATAATTTGGAACCAAAATTTTTCATCCATGAGGTTGCTTTTCTCCCTGCTCCCAAGAGATGAAATGATGAGATCACGACTTCCTAAGACCTAAAACACTGTTCCAAGATATTCCTCAGGACTTTTGGCTCCCTGGCCCTGGTGCAGCTCTTTGTCAGTGCCAGCCTGGCTGAGATCAGGTGGCAAAGGTGCAATTCTGTCATTTCCCAGCTGGCTGCAGGGTGTCAGCAGCTCCAGCAGGGCCTTGAGGTGCCAAATCCGAATTTTTGTTTCCTTCTAGAGTCACGTGCAACTCCTGGAAACTTTGCTTCTGTGCCTGTGGCAGCCAGGAAAGCTGCTGGTGTTCTGGGAGTGGGCACAGAGGGTGGGAATGCTGCAGGGAATGGGTTGTGGATCAAGGTTTTTATTTTTGTGCCTGTTTATTCCAGAGCTGCTGAGGGCAGCACATTCCTTGTCTGCTCCATTAGGGAATGGTGCAAGATTCCTGGGTTAGCACTTTAACTTCATTCCAGTGCAGGATTCTGGAGCAAATCCCACCCTCCAAACTGGCTGAGGATATTTACCCAAATTTAGATGGGAAAAAAAAAAAAATATTCTCATTTTCACATCAGCAGAAAATCACCCCACCCCTCATTAAGGGAAACCCTGATGACTTCAGCTGAAATTTTGCCTTTTAAACATGAATAGGAGCTTAAAAGCAGAGGATTTCTAAAAGCCCCCTCTGGTTTTTCCTTCCCACAGAGTCAGGAATGTGCCCGTGTGCCCCAGCCCTCCCCGGTTCCGCCGCACCTGGGGCCCCTTTGGCAGGAGCAGGTCGGAGCCTCCGCTGTGCACCAAGAAATCCTGAGCCCTGCAGATGATCCTGCGTCCCCCCCCCGCGCTGAGAACCCCTCCCAGCCTTCCATTAAACGTTTTCCTCGTTATTGTTGGATTTTAATTGGAGAGAGAGCCCCCACACACGATTTACAGCTGGTTATGGGCACAAGTGGCACGAGGAAGAGGAGTCCCCTCTTCCATGGATCCCTCATGGGAGCTTTGGGATGGGAAAAAGAGCAGGGAAAAGTTTTGTTCCATCCCACTGCTGCTGTCGCCTGGGAATGGGGAGGATGTTGAATTTTGGGGTGTCTGGTAGGATCAGGGAGGCTCCCAGGCCACAGCAGCATCACTGAAGGAAAGGAGGAACCTGTGGGAACGTCACACCCTTGGGGTCACCTCGGGCCAGCCCAGTCCAGAATTCCACAGGTCTGGAATTAAAGTGTATTTCTGGATTTATCTCTTCACCCAAGGGGTCCCTAAAACCCCCTGAATTCCCCTCTCCTGTGGAGGAGCTTGGAATTGCATCCTTCCCAAGGCTGTGCTGTATTCCCAGCNAAAAAATACAAATCCTAAAACCTGCTGCATCAGCCTGGGATGTTCTGAGAGCCAAAACATTCTGGTAGCTTCCAGCCACGGCTCCCTGTGGTTATTTAGAGTGTTGATGGGTGCAATAATTGCCATTTCTTGTGAGGCACAAGGAGCTGCCAGTTGTGTGTGTGCAGCCTGCACTTAGGCAGGCAGCAGGAGCAGCTGCATCGCCACAGGGCTGCTTCCAGAGGATGAATCCAGCATAAGTAATGCAGAGGGGACAGGCAGGGAAAGCTAAAATGGCCTGTTTTTCCTTTTGCTTTCAAATTAAAAATGCAAGACGTATGTTGTGAGTCACAAAAAATCAGGCGAGGAGCTCGAAAGGAGCCGGGCTGACAAGTGAAAGCCAGCTCTGCTGTGCTGGGGAAGAACATTGTCTGGGATGCACACAATTTGGTTTTCTTATTAGTGCAAACCTTTCTCCTTGCAAATAGCTGGAGGCTTGGAGCTGAGCCCAACAGGCAGCGTGGGCTGTGCCAGGCTGTGCCAGGCTGTGCCAGGCTGTGCCCTGTGAGCTGTGCCCTGGCTGTGCCATCTGCGTGGCAAATGCTGAGTGATCCCAAAGAATGCTGAGTGAACACCAAGGAATTCATGAAGGAAAGAAAGAAAGAAAAAATCAGCAGGTTTAGAGCCAGTAAGGGAATTCCTCCTGGGAAGCTGTAACTAATATATTGCTGCTACAAATCTTCAGCTCTGCTTTGAGTTGCAAATCTCCTGGCATTTGTCTCAGGGTAATGTTTGCTTTGCTGTCCCATCTTTTACGTAATCTGTCTGTTCTTCCTTGGATCCTGGCTCCTGCTGCTGTGCTGTCTGAGGGAATTCCAAGCTGGCTACAGGAGAGATTTTCTCTTTTCCCTTATCTGCACACTGCAGGAAATAGAATTTTCATATATAACTACAACTTCTATCTATATCAAATCCATTTTTCACCTATATCTCTTTTATATCTCATACATATTCTTATGTTGGGTGATTGAGTGCTAAAAGTCACACTGACAAGTTGGAAAAAAAATTCCTTTTATATTCAGAATAAACTTCTCACATTGAGCCATCTCCAGTGTGTTGGGAGAGAACCCCGTATATTCAGAATATATTCAGAATAAACTTCTCACACTGAGCCATCTCCAGTGTGTTGGGAGAGAACCCCGTGGCTCAGCTTGTGCTTCCTCTCATTCTGCTTTCTAAATGCTGTTAAATCCCAATAAATTCATTTATTTGCAGCTTCCCCTAGGAATTTAAATGCTGGAGCAGATGCAAAAATGAGCTGTGATTTGAGCATCTGCTTGGCAATGGGGGGCTGATAATTGACCACACAAGATTTCTGCCAGCTGACCATTTGTCAGTGTTTGCACTTTGTTATTGCCCTTTATCCAGCAGTAAATGGAATTATTTCCTTCCTGATGAGATCCTCCTTGGCAATTCTGGGGCTGGATCAGCTACACGAATAATGAGGCTCCAAAAACTCTGTTATTTGGAGCAGAATCACAGAATGGCTCAGTTGGAAGGGACCTTAGAATGATCCTGTTCCATGAGCAGGAACTTTGCACTGCTCTGGGAAGCTGAGCTGGCTCCTCTCTGACCTCCATCCATTTTTTTTTCCCAACCAGAACTCCACCAGGAGCTCTCCTTGAGGCTTGCTGTGCTTGCTAGAGATTTTTGATGCTTTCAGAAATTTTATCAGACTTTCCCACAACCTTGGCAGAAACCTGATAAATTATTTCCTTGGATCTCCCTGGAATCAAAGGGAATAGAGGAGGAAATACCTTATAAAGAAGCCCAAACCATCTGGTTTTACTGTAATAACAAAGATCAATATCTTCCAAAACCCAGCCAGTGTGTTTGAGGTGATGGAAAGGGAGAGCAGTGTCAGGGAACAGATGGAGAAACAAATCTGTGAAACACAAATGAACTCTTTGCTAGCAGGCTCTGCCTTGAAAGACTCTGGTCTCTTGATTGAGTGGAAGGAAAAACCCTGAATCTTGAAGCAGTTCTTACCTGCCCAAAATTAATTTTGCTTGGATGGAGAGTGGGCAGGGGAAGGTGCAGGGCTGGGGTGTGGGAATTTATAAAGTTAGAGGGTTTTTAGGAAATGGTTAAAAAAGAGTATTTAGGTTTTAGGATGTGGTTTGAAGTTTTGTTACAGTAGAAAAGTTTTTCAAGTAAGTAGAAAAGTTTTTTAAGTAGTAGACGTGATAAATAATAATAAGATTTTGTAGATTTGGTTTTAGGATGGTAATAAGTTTATTTAATGTATATCTTTAGAAGGTTATTGTGAATAGAGTTTTGTTTTTTGTTTTTTATGAATTAGTTTTTGATTTAATTACTTTTACGTATGTTTTATAAGATTGGATGGAAAGTTTGTTAATATGTTTTGTTTTGATGTGATTGGTTGAAATTTAAACTGAGATGGTTTTATGTTGTTTTGTTTTACTTTACTTTTGAGGATATTTTTTTTTAGGCTAGTATGTTGTTAA